ACCGCGCTTCAACAGCCACCGCTGCTCGGCGAGACTTTCGTTGTTCGGTTTAAACAAACAAACAAACAAAAGCACATTTCGGAGGGCGGCATTGGTTCAGACGTGTCGTCACTCGTTCGCCGTGCGGGGATCGAACTCGGGTTGGCCCAGGGTTCATGGCACAGCGCGCTGACCAGCTGCGCCGTGCGTTCCCGCGAGCTGCGATTCAGCGGGCAGATCCACGCGCCCGCCTACGGATCGCGTCTGGAACGCCGAAGACAAAACCGAGACCCCCCCCCCTCGGCCGCCCCCACCCGTGCCATGACGGTCCAAAATACGCGCGTGTCGAGACGGCTGTGGTCCAAACGGCAACCCCCCCCCCCCTTCACTGCCAGAGCCGTTGCACATAGCCCAGCATAGCCAGAATAGCCCAGCATAGCCAGAATAGCCCAGCATAGCCCAACATAGCCAGAATAGCCCAGCATAGCCAGAATAGTCCAGCATAGCCAGAATAGCCCAGCATAGCCCAGCATAGCCAGAATAGCCCAGCATAGCCAGAATAGCCCAGCATAGCCAGAATAGCCCAGCATAGCCAGAATAGCCCAGCATAGCCCAGTATAGCCACAATAGCCCAGCATAGCCCAGAATAGCCCAGCATAGCCCAACATAGCCAGAATAGCCCAGCATAGCCCAGAATAGCCCAGCATAGCCCAACATAGCCAGAATAGCCCAGCATAGCCAGAATAGCCCAGCATAGCCCAGCATAGCCAGAATAACCCAGCATAGCCAGAATAGCCCAGCATAGCCCAGTATAGCCAGCATAGCCAGAATAGCCCAGTATAGCCCAGCATAGCCAGAATAGCCCAGAATATCCCAGCATAGCCAGAAAAGCCCAGAATAGCCAAGCATAGCCAGAATAGCCCAGCATAGCCAGAATAGCCCAGCATAGCCAGAATAGCCCAGCATAGCCCAGCATAGCCAGAATAACCCAGCATAGCCAGAATAGCCCAGCATAGCCAGAATAGCCCAGCATAGCCCAGCATAGCCAGAATATCCCAGCATAGCCAGAATAGCCCAGCATAGCCCAGCATAGCCAGAATATCCCAGCATAGCCAGCATAGCCAGAATACCCCAGCATAGCCAGAATAGCCCAGCATAGCCGGAATAGCCCAGCATAGCCGGTATAGCCCAGCATAGCCAGAATACCCCAGCATAGCCAGAATAGCCCAGCATAGCCGGTATAGCCCAGCATAGCCAAAATATCCCAGCATTGCCAGAATAGCCGAGCATAGCCAGAATAGCCCAGCATAGCCGGTATAGCCCAGCATAGCCAAAATATCCCAGCATAGCCAGAAGAGCCCAGCATAGCCAGCATAGTCGGCATACCCAGTATAGCCAAAATAGCCCAGAATAGCCCAGCATAGCCTGAATAGCCCAGCATAGTCAGCATACCCAGTATAGCCAAAATAGCCCAGAATAGCCCAGCATAGCCAGCATAGCCCAGCATAGCCAGCATAGTCAGCATACCCAGTATAGCCAAAATAGCCCAGAATAGCCCAGCATAGCCAGAATAGCCCAGAATAGCCAGCATAGTCAGCATACCCAGTATAGCCAAAATAGCTCAGTATAGACAGCCACACCACACAGTCACTCAGGCAGCAGCCTCCCTCTGTCTCACTGTCACGCTCACAGGGAGCGCCTCCCCCCCCGCTGCCCCAACGTCCCCCTCTCATCCCTCCCCCCTCTTCCAAAGCCCCCCCCTCCCACCACTCTTTCTACCCCCACCACCACCACCCGTGGCCCCGCGCGCCGCATGAATAGCAGAGGGTGGTGATGTTGGCGTTCACGGTAGGAGGCACGCCATTGGTCAACGCAGCCTCGACCAATCCCACAGCAAACCCCCCCCCCCGGCCCTTTTCATCATCAAGATCCACCTCCCCCTCCCTCTCCTCCTCCTCCCTCCCTTCTCCGTTCCCTCTCTGGCTCTGTGTGTATCCCTCTCCCACAGACAGCCTTTAACCCCAGACACCCCCCACCCTACCCCCCACTCCCTCTCCCTCCCACCTCCCTCCCTCCCCCTCTCTCCCTCTCACCCCCTCTCCCTCCCTCCCCCCTTCTTCCTCCCCCCCCTCTTCCTCCCATCCCCTCCCTCCCGGACAGCCACAATGGGGAGGAGGAGGAGGACTGGGCCACTCTCATATTCCATGCGACGCACGGACGGAGGGGAGAGCGTCACTTGTCGCCCTAGAGCCTGGCCGAGGCCACGAGCGAATACAATGGGAAGTGAAACCCCTCCGCGGATCTTTCCCATGCACCCCGTGCCCTGCCACCCGTGTCACACCACCACCAAAGACAAAGATCCCCCGTATAGCCTTTAATCCGCTGTTCGGGGAGGGGGGGGAGGGCAAGTGCTGTTAGCGAGTAGCACCTAATTAAGGTTCCCCTGCACGGCACACAAGGGGGGTTGTGGAGTGGCCAACACCATGCCCGGCCGCCTTTGTCTTTTACGCACAAGCATCAGGTTACTCATTTGAGGCTGAGTCTACCTAGGCGAGGCACAGAACGGGTTCAGATAATTGTCACTGGTGTTCAGTGCCCTCTATCCCACAACCACCACTACCAATACGCGCCTCGTCACATCACAAGTAGCTCCTCATCCACTACCACCAATACCAGCAGCTACCAGAATAACCATCACTACCACCACCACATCATTAGCACCATCACGACACCCCCTTCCCATACAGCCACCACCACTCTCTAACCCGAACCAAACTCAATACCACCACCACCTCGATCACCAACGCTATCCACCATCACCATAACCACCAATTATCTACAATGCACTGCCACAACCACCACTATGCCCCCTCTACCCACCCACGTGCTCACGGCCACCATCACCATTACACCACTCCCGATCACAACCACCACCTATCTCAATCACCAGCACCACTACCGCCACCTATCTCACCACCACCATTCCCGATCACAACCACCACTACCACCACCTATCTCAATCACCACCACCACCACTACCACCACCATTCCCGATCACAACCACCACTACCACCACCTATCTCAATCACCACCACCACTATCACCACCTATGTCACCACCACCATTCCCGATAACAACCACCACTACCACCACCTATCTCAATCACCACCACCACCACTACCACCACCATTCCCGATCACAACCACCACTACCACCACCTGTCTCAATCACCACCACCACTACCACCACCTATGTCACAACCACCATTCCCGATCACAACCACCACTACCATCACTACTACCACCACCACTCCAGGGCGCAACCAAACAAAGACAAAGATCCCCCGTATAGTCTTAACGTACTGTTGGGGCAAGTGCAGTTAGTAATTAGCGCCTATGAAGGCCGGAACGGCACACGAGGGGGTGGGCGGCCAACACCACGCCCGGCCGCCTTTGTCTCACCAGTGACGATGTTTACACACCACACCAGGTACTCATTTGAGGCTGAGCCGACCCATCCATACACACACGCACATCCCATATCAACACGCACCGATATATACTCGCGAACAATTAATAATGACTAAGTTTAGCACGATTAGAGATAATATGCCTTACATACAAATTATCTTTCCGGAAGCTCATATATATTTTTTATTACAGGCCTATTTTGTGATTGAGCCTGTGTTTGTTGAATTAAAATAAAACTGACCAAGCAAAATAAATAACTTAGCAATGACACACGACGTACACATTCACATCCATCCTACTAAAACTCACACACAGACAAAGATGCCCCGTGTAACCCCCACGGACTGTTCGGCAAAGTGCTGTTAGCGAGCAACTCCTATTGAGCTCGGCCCGCGCGGGTTTGTGTGGGCAGAACCACGCCCGCACGCCGTTGTCTCCCCAGAGTTTACGTTTAACAACCCACAACGGGTACCCATTTGAGGCCGAGTCGACCTAGTGGAGCCCCGAGACCGGTTCAGATATCCGCCCGCCACTGATGTTGGCCCGTGGCCGGGAATGGAACTCGCGCAGCCGATTTCGTAGCGCAGTGCGCTAACTGCTACGCTACGGCACTCCACAGACAAAGATCCCCCGTAAAGCCTTCAGAGACTGTTGGAGCAAGTGCTGTTCGCGGGCAAACACACACGCACACACAGCAGACGTCTCCCCGAACTAAATCACCTTCTCTCTCACACACACACGCACGCCCATACACACACACGCGCGCATGCACAATCACCACCACCACCACACACTCGCATCCCACCTCCCTCTCTCTCTCTAGACGCCTCCCCACCCGTCTGATCCCCCAACCCCACTCACCCGCCCGACCCTCACCCTAAAGCAGCGCCCCCCCCCCCCACACAGAAGAAATTAGCATCCCCTATCCCCTCTCCCCTCCATCTCTCCCAAACCCCTACCCCCCTTCCCCTCCCCATCGATCCCTCCCGCATCCCCGTCGATCCTTCCCGCCCCCTCTCCGATTCTCATCCTCACCAACTATTGCATCTCTAGCGTAGTTAGCGCGTAATGCCAGTCGCACTCTCCTCCTCCTCTCTCTCCCTCTCTCTCTCTCTCCTCCCTCTCCCCTTCACTCTCTTCTCTGGCGCTCTCCCACGACCCCCCTCCCACCACCACCACGGTGGGGGGGGAGGGAGGTCGGGGGGGGGGGAGCGCCTCTCTCTCTCCGATGCCGGCCGCATTCGCTCCTCCCGCTGCGCTCGCCGAATGTTTTGGTGGCCCCCGGGTTCCCGCCTCCTCGCCGGCAACAAAAGAGTCGACGACGGGGGGGGGGGGGGGGGGGGGGGCTGGGGGCTGTTCCCTTGCTGCTCCTGCTGCTCCTGCTGCCGCAAGCCGCCGTAGTCTCTTACGTCGCTGCGCCTTGAGTTTCAGGGCACGTATGTGTGGGGTGGTGTGGGGTTAGCCCGGGGAGGGGTGGGGGTGGTGGGTGGTGGGTGTGAGAGTGGTGTGAGAGTGGCGTGAGGGTGGTTGAGAGTGGTGAGAGAGAGAGGAAGAGAGAGAGAGCGAGCGAGCGCGCGCGCGGGGCGAGTGTGCTCGAGCAGAGTGAGTTTGGTGAGTTGGTGGAGCGAACGGGTGGGTGAGCGGTTGTCCGGATTTTACCGCTCATGTATCTTGTCTCTCTCTCTCTCTCGCTCTCTCTCTCTCGTTCGTTCATCTCCTCTCTCTCTCTCATCTGTCGCGCTCCCAAAGAAGAACAAGGAACAAAAACAACCGTGGGATGACTCACAGGGTGGAGTGAGTGGGGGGGTGGACATCTGATGGCACCCCTTGGTTGGAACATGCTGGAGGGGGGGGGGGGTGCTGAGCGATGTTGGGAGCGGTTCACGGAGAAGATGAGCAGCCGGAGCATCAAGGCAAAGACGAGGAGGAGGTGGGAGGAGGATGAAGATGTGCAGGAGGAGACCGCGTGGCGAGAGAACACGGGGAGAGCGGCAAAGGGGAGAGGTTGCGAACGCGGTCGCGACCGCATGAGCGAAGAGTCCTGAAAGCTCCTGATTACGTTCCATTAATTGTTGCTGCTGCTGCTGCCTTGCTGATGAAATGTCGGAATGCCGAGTGATGGTGGAGACGCGGCCAAGCATGCTGCGTGAAGAGACGGTGGTGCGATGTTGACGGTGATGCCCGGTCATGGTGAATATGGTGATGGTAGTGGTGGTGGTGGTGCTGGTGATAAAGCAGACGCGATGCCGTTGGCGATGCTGCTGACTACTGCTGCTGATGATGATTCACCACAGCTGATGGTGCTGATGACTATGTTGAAACACCATCGATGATGATGATGATGGTGGTAGTGTCGGAGTCAATGAGTGCGCTACACAAGAGTGGAATGTCATCTGAAGAGAAATCAGCGGCAAGGAGATGCGCGTAATCTCGCAATGATCATCATTCTCGTTATTGCCACTTAATACGTTCTGCTTATTATGTTATAATTTTATTTTGGCAAACATTTTTGTTGTTGTTAAAGTAAACCAGCATATATATGTGTTTTATTTCTTACAACCTTTCTGTTGTGAACTTCACCACAATACATCGGCATATTGGTGCCGGTGGTGATCATCGTCATGGTACGCGTTGCTACAAGTATTGGAAGTCAACTCGTGCGGTCGAGATACGAGAATGGATGATGTTCCGTGGTGCCTGTGGAGATGCGCCCGAAAGTTCCGCAAGACGTCTCAAGACATCGTACGACCCTAACGCAAGAAAGATTGGATTTATTAATTCTTCGAGGAGGAAGGAAAGACGTCTCCGCTTTTCTGCCAACAGTTCGCAGTCTCTCCACCGCGTCAACTCTCCCTCCGTCTCTTGGCACACAGTAAGTGTGCGGGTCGCACAACCTTCACACACGCGCGCACATCATCCACACACACACATTCACACGTGCACACACATCATGCACACATCATGCACACATCATACACACATCATCCACACGTGCACACACATCCACACACGCACACACATTCACAATCGCACACTCACACGTGCACACACATCATCCACACGTGCACACACATCATCCACACACACACATCCACACGTACACACACATCATACACACGCACACACATTCACAATCGCACACTCACACATGCACACACAAACAAACACATTCACACACGCACACACATTCACAATCGCACACTCACACATGCACACACATCATCCACACGTGCACACACATCATCCACACGTGCACACACATCATCCACACTCGCATCCACACGCACACACACATCCACACACGCACACACATTCACAATCACACACTCACACATGCACACACAAACAAACACATTCACACACGCACATCTACTTTGTACGCGAGTACGTGCAAAAGATAAAGCCCCTCCGTATTGCCTCTCTATTTCTACAGACAAGTGCTGTTCGCGAGCATCTACCTACATACAAAGACAAAAATTCCCCGTGTATATAGCCTTAACAGACTGTTGGGGCAAGTGCTGTTAGCGAGCACCTACACACAAACGTGCATATACATGTGCAGACATACATCCACACACGTACACACACACACGAACGCGTGTACACACAGAAACATATAAAGATCCCCCGTATAGCCTGAACAGACTGACGGGGCAAGTGCTATGAGTTAGCTCCTATGAAATCCAGCAAACGATGGGATGGGTGGCCGGAATCACGCCCGGCCGCCTTTGTCTCCCTAGTGGCGATGTTCACACATCGCACCAGGTTAGTCATTTGAGGCTGTGTCGACCTAGCGGAGTCCCGGTACCGGTTCAGATAAATCGTCACCGGTGTTGGTGGCCGTGAGCGGGAATCCAACTCGGGTCACCGGGTTCGTAGCGCAGTGCGCTAACCGCTGCACCACCGCTCCCTACAGTCGACCTACAAACACACACAGACACGCGTGTGTGCATACACATACATGCACACACGCTCACATACATACACTGCGTAACATAATGATGGCATCGTAATGCTCGTACACGTGGACAAACACAGCCCACTATTGTGTCAATCCACTGCTGGATAAGTGCCTTCCCACGCCGGCGGGGTTTACTTAATTAAACATAACCGCGTTGACATATTGATTGTCGGTACTGTGTGTGTGTGGCCGGCCTTCATAGGTGCACGCTAACAGCACTTGCCCCCCCCAGAATTTGCCCAGACTATACGGGGGACATTTGTCTGTGTGTGTATGTATATATGTGTGATATATATGTGTGTGTCTATATCTCTCCCTATATATTCTTGAATGCCAGCACGGAGAAAAGTGTTGGCATGGCCTAGAGCACGCACGGCCCCCTTTGTCTCCCCAGTACTGATACTATATTTACCGCACGCATCACGTGTTTCCGGCCTCGAGTCGTGGCGCTCTCTATAACAACGGCACTTGCCCCGGCAATTCGATTCGTTGAAGGCTACACGGGTCCTCTTTGGCTTTGTTGTTGTTATGTATACATGAGATTACTTATGGGGCTTACAATCATCATCACTACAATGCCCTTGACTTAAGGCAGAAAAGCATCGCTGTGTCTCGGGACACTTGGACAAGTGAGGGGTCATGTTGACACCTTGGGATGTCGGTGAGTGGTTGGAATCTCCCGTCACCTGAGTTGGACTCCCGGTCACAGAGGAGACGGAAAAAAAACGCATCGTAACCTCAAAATTTTGGATTGAAGCAATGAGTGTTTTTTTTTTATAAAAATAAAAAACATCAGCCTCTTTGGGTGATGGGATGTGTAAAAACAGCCCCCTAATATTTGTTATATGGAAGGATGGATATTGGAAGGGAGTATTTAATGTCTGCCTATCTATTAAGTATCGTTCATTAATGTAATAATGGTCGAATTCCTGTTGTTCACAGTGTACGTATGGAGTATTTGCGTGTGCGTGTGTGTATATTCTCAGCTCAGTATGTGTAAATATACACTGTATAGACGTAAGTCTACGTGTGTGCGCATGCATGCACGTGTGCATACATGTGCTGCGCGCATGTACGTGTTCTTGCATTACACATGTACCCACATGTGTGTATACTAATATATACATGCATGCATGTGTTGTGTGTGTATTGTATATGTAGGCAGCGTGTGTATATGTGCTTGCATGTATGTGTTGTATATGTACATGCGGATGTATGTATGTATATGCTGACCCGCAATGATGCCCGCTAACAGCACTTGCCCCGAATGCCTGGAAGGGCTACACGGGTGTCTGTCTTTGCATATGCAGGTTTTGTGTATGCACGTATAAGTACGTATGTACAGTGAGGAAAACAAGCATTTGATCCCCTGCTGATTTTGTACGTTTGCCCACTGACAAAGAAATTATCAGTCTATAATTTTAATGGTAGGTTTATTTGAACAGTGAGAGACAGAATAACAACAGAAAAACCAGAAAACGCATGTCAAAAATGTTATAAATTGATTTGCATTTTAATGAGGGAAATAAGTATTTGACCCCTCTGAAAAACATGACTTAGTACTTGGTGGCAAAACCCTTGTTGGCAATCACAGAGGTGAGACGTTTCTTGTAGTTGGCCACCAGGTTTGCACACATCTCAGGAGGGATTTTTTCCCACTCCTCTTTGCAGATCTTCTCCAAGTCATTAAGGTTTCGAGGCTGACGTTTGACAACTCGAACCTTCAGCTCCCTCCACAGATTTTCTATGGGATTAAGGTCTGGAGACTGGCTAGGCCACTCCAGGACCTTAATGTGCTTCTTCTTGAGCCACTCCTTTGTTGGCTTGGCCGTGTTTTTTTGTGGGTCATTGTCATGCTGGAATACCCATCCACGACCCATTTCAATGCCCTGGCTGAGGGAAGGAGGTTCTCACCCAAGATTTGATGGTACATGGCCCCGTCCATGGTCCCTTTGATGTGGTGAAGTTGTCCTGTCCCCTTAGCAGAAAAAAACATGCCCAAAGCATAATGTTTCCACCTCCATGTTTTACAGTGGGGATGGTGTTCTTGGGGTCATAGGCAGCATTCCTCTTCCTCCAAACACAGCGAGTTGAGTTGATGCCAAAGAGCTCCATTTTGGTCTCATCTGACCACAACACTTTCACCCAGTTGCCGTCTGAATCATTCAAATGTTCATTGGCAAACTTCAGACGGGCATGCATATGTGCTTTCTTGAGCAGGGGGACCTTGCGGGCGCTGCAGCATTTAGTCTTTCACGGCGTAGTGTGTTACCAATTGTTTTCTTGGTGACTATGGTCCCAGCTGCCTTGAGATCATTGACAAGATCCTCCCGTGTAGTTCTGGGCTGATTCCTCACCGTTCTCATGATCATTGCAACTCCACAAGGTGAGATCTTGCATGGAGCCCCAGGCCGAGGGAGATTGACAGTTCTTTTGTGTTTCTTCCATTTGCGAATAATCGCACCAACTGTTGTCACCTTCTCACCAAGCTGCTTGGCAATGGGCTTGTAGCCGATTCCAGCCTTGTGTAGGTCTACAATCTTGTCCCTGACATCCTTGGAGAGCTCTTTGGTCTTGGCCATGGTGGAGAGTTTGGAATCTGATTGATTGATTCCTGCTGTGGACAGGTGTCTTTTATACAGGTAACAAACTTTAAGAGTGTGCTCCTAATCTCAGCTCGTTACCAGTATAAAAGAAACCTGGGAGCCAGAAATCTTTCTGATTGAGAGGGGGTCAAATACTTATTTCCCTCATTAAAATGCCAATCAATTTATAACAATTTTGACATGCGTTTTTCTGGATTTTTTGTTGTTATTCTCTCTCACTGTTCAAATAAACCTACCATTAAAAGCATAGACTGATCATTTCTTTGTCAGTGGGCAAATGTACAAAATCAGCAGGGGATAAAAAAAACTTTTTTTCCCTCACTGTATGCATGTACAGTACGTATGCATGTACAGTATGTATGCATGCTTGTATGTACAGCAGTCTATGTGCAATATATCACAGAGGATATGTGTGTACGTACGTGTGCACATATATGTACGTATCCTTGTATGCATGTGTGTCAATATGTATACACCCCACGTATGTATATGTATGTATGATGTGCATGCACAACAATAGTTATTTGAATGGTTGTAATTAAGCTTGCTGTTGCACCGTATACGCACATGCCTCTGTGTCTTTGTGTATATGCACGTATACACACTTAGGGCGCATTCTGTATATCATGTGTGTACAGCATACGTCTGTGTATATGGGGAGCGGTGGTGGAGCGGTTAGCGCGCTGCCTTACGAACCCGGCCACCCCGAGTTGGATTCCCGCTCACGGCCACCAACACCGGTGACGATTATCTGAACCGGTCCTGGGCCTCCCCTAGGTCGATTCGGCCACAAACTAGTACCTGGTGCGGTGTGTAAACATCGCCACTGGGGAGACAAAGGCGGCCGGTCGTGGTGTTGGCCACCCACCCCCTCGTGTGCGGTGCCGGCCTTCATAGGTGCTACTCGCTCACAGCACTTGCCCCAAAAGTATGTTGAGGCTATACGGGGATCTTTGTCTTTGTCATCTAACAACCTTATGTTATACACACAGCCATGTGCATTACCTCCATCGTGTGTAAATTCTGCTGTATACTCACCTCACACTAAACATCAAGGCCTCATTTATACATATATTGTATTATATATTGTATTATATGTTATATATTGTATTATATATTGTATATTGTATTATATGTTATATATTGTATTATATATTGTACTATATAACAGCTCTATCCTGGTATCCAACTTGTGTCAGCAGCTACAGCGGAGAGTTGTACGCGTGGTCAAAACTGCCGCAAAGCAATACCTGGGACTAATGGCATACGACCTCGTTCACATGCAATATTTAACGCGATTACTAA